TAAGCTAATACAGTCCTAATTACTAAGCTTACTACTTAATTACTACCTAATGTGTGTTTCTTATAGCAGTTCAAATGTAGTTTTAATTTAGTAATTTTAACTTTTAGTTTAGTGATTTTAATGCTTTAAAGAGCCATGTTAGATTGTAAAGTTCTAATGCTATCTGTTCTAACTATAAAAGGTACAGCTGTCATAAAACCAGAGAAAAAGGCTGCATGGCTATGATAGTATGTGAGAGAGTCAGTGGTAATATCACTGCATTGCTGTTGTTCAGTGTTAGAAGAGCTCAGCTTAGTCTGACAGTTTGCCTGCCCTGGACCAGGTTAGCTTTCCAGCATAAGTTGCCACAGTGACTGATTTTAAACTCTTTGTTAAATTTGTTTTATGGAACCAAATCATTTGACATTCAGTCAGACTAACTGAAATAAGCCTGGGCTATTTGGTAAACTTGTTTTATGAAACAGGCCTCGAGGCATTAGAAGTCAGAAGACACATAAGTTAATTTATGATTTGCTGTCTGTCTGAGCCAAAGAAATAAATGCGATCATATTTTTTCCATTGCATCGTATTGCATCGAATCGCATTGTGTTGAATCGGATCGAATCGAAATCAGATCGCACTGCATCGTAATAAGGGTGAATCGTATCGTATCGCATCGCTAGCTACTTTATATGTATCTTCAATGTATCGTATGGTTGGCTATGCATCGAGATTCGTATCGCATCGGCCTCAGTTACGGAGATGCATGAGATATCGACATTAGGGGGGGGCAAGGGCAATTGCAATTGCCCCCCCAAATTGTTAGTCATGGAATCCCTGATGTCGGCCTGCTGCAACTGGAGTGCTTAGCCTAGCATTAAATACCCTCACCGTGCTTTTGCAGCGTTGAGCATAGTAACCAATCACAGACATATCTGTTGATTTCTTAAACGCAATGGCCAATCAGAAACTTTTTGTCAGAATTCACTCACCTCTGAAAGCACCGCAGTTTTGCACGCTCGTGAATCATCTCATGACTAAGTGCAGACGCGATGTAAATAAGAGATTCATTGTGTAGTTTAGAGAGCTTCATTGATTATAACAGAACTTTGTAAGATCGCGATGAATGAAGATGAGTGACGCTTTTTAGTGATAAAGGGAGCACGCTTTGCACACTTTCTAGGATATAATTCATTCAGAATTTGTATGAAACTTTCGTTTTTCGGACACATAAGCTACACCCTGCAAAGTTGTCGGGAATGACATTCGCATTTTTATGTGGGATTCACTCTTGAAATAGCAGTGATTGGCAATGGACAGAACATAAAATATGTTGATTTAATTCTGGAACCGGTCCTGGCCAAACCTCCACAGACAGCACGCGTCCCGAGCGAGATCTAATTCATGGACCAAAAGCGTGTGTAAACTTTATTGAGATCGGGACATATCAACCAGTAATTTCATTTCATTTCCAGTAACGGACTGGTAGAAAGTTCAGCAATGAATGGTATGTGATTTATGACAGAATATAGACCCACAACTGATCGTTGATTTTTTCCTCACGTGTCTCGCCTTTGGTAACAACGATTCAAAACGGAAACATTTCAAGTGACACGGGAAAAAGACACAGGAAACTTCAGTGAACATCAGAAAAGCAGCGTGCACATTTCTGGTTAAAAATGAAAGGCCATCAACTGACAAAAGGGAAGCATCGCCATTCAAGTCAACAGGAAGAGCCAAAGCTAGTCCAGTTTACTAAAGGTGGCAACCTCTTTAAGTTATTCTTGACTGTGTTGCTTTGATGCGTTGCAATATGGTAGGGCATTGTTTTGATGCTCACATCAGAAAAAAAATATTTTGCTTTTATTTATTTATTTCATATATATATATATATATATATATATATATACAGGGTTTGAAATTAACACCCGCCAAATGCGG